AAACTAGCTAGATGCTTGTGATGGGTCCTCTATTTCTGGTTTGTCTTTGTTGTTTAAGCAATAAATAATTTCAGTCTTTCTTTTAGAAGTTTTGTCATACATTGCCAGCATTCCACAAAGCCCTAAAACTCATCAAATATGTCATTAGTAAAACTATCTTGCATTGCAGGTCCTCGAGATTCCAATTTGTCACTTTAGAGCTACACAACTGCTTTGCTTTCTACCAGCAGTTGCCAAGGCTTTCATAGCAACATCCAGAATTTGCTTATGCCTTCACTAAATACAAATGACTAGCAATCATCAGCTTCTCTTTGGATGGATTCTGGCTTCTCTGGAACTGTAGTTCATCTAGCTCTCATTTCTTCCAAAGCTTTTTAATGCTTTAAAACACAAGTTTTGTAATTCTCCAGCTTTTTCTAGTTCCAGTAGGAGGCTGGCCATTTACCACCTACTACATACTATTTGGAAGCAGAAGTCTCAGTAAATATTAAAATGATTCTTGTTTTCATTTGAAATCCTGTATCACTCTAGTTTTTGGTTCATTAATCGTATCTTATATTGTTTTGTTGCTTAATGTGTGTTGGTCTTATTTCTTTGCATATTACAAACTTTGAGGGATTGTTGTTTTTTATCTTGTATAGACCTATCATTATACTAAACAGAGCATAATTAAAAGTCAATTGACACATTGGATAGTTTAAAAATCTAGTCTATGGGACATTATATTCATCATAATCACAATTCTTCCATCTTTATCCTTATAAATTCTTATTTAATTCATATATCCAGTTATCTATCTATATGTATATTATCTGTCTCTGGCCCCTTGCAAATTGTCTTTATAAAACTCTGCTCAAGGACTGATAAACATACATAAAAGAAATTTATAGCTTTTGTATATCTATTTCAATAACAGACGGGACTTTGAATTGTTTCTTATCCCTTAAATATGAAATCTATCTGAGAATTTATGGCAATGAAAGCCTTATTTCTCATTATAAACTTGCATGCTTCTTTCAATTAAGCAATAAGAATTCTCTAATTCATGAAGTTTTTTATGTACTCTGACTGCTACAAAAATAAGAGTTTGATTAGAGTTGTTCTCCTCACTGTGTATAAACACACACACACAAACACGTGCATGTATGTATATATACACATATATATACAGACACATATATATGTTTTTTCATTCGCCCTGTATTACCTGTGTATTTATTGTAAGTCACAGCAAATTTTGAAAAATGGATGAATGAGCCTATGAATTGACATAAGTTAATATAATGACCTAAGGTGCCAGTGACTCATCAACTTTGGCATGAATTAGGCTTTTTATTGCCAGATGGACCAGGAGTGGCATTCATTTAATATTTGACAAATATTGAATCATTAAGAGAAAGACAAACCACAAAATTTCTTAAGATTCTTTTTTCTTACCATTTTCCATGACTTGCATTTTTATTTATTTATAAAAATGTGTAAATATCCTTTGATGATACAAAGTCAGCCTTTGTATGCTTAAAATTTGTGTGAAAAGTATAAAATTTAGAAATGTCTCAGTCTGTCAACATAAACTTTGTGAATCTGGAAATATCTGAAAAAATTAAGTGATCCTTTGAAGTTTTTACTATGAAAATAAAAGACAAAGGTATATCTCCAGCAGTGGATTTAATAGGCAAGAAGTTAAGATATAAGCAACATAATAGGCTGTAATATTGAAGCTTGTAGATCTGTGGGATTAGTGGGTTAGGAGGAAATTGGTAACTCTATAATGCGTACAATCTAACATTTTCTCTTTGAAATCTACAGTTAAATGCATTTGTTCCCCAAAACTATACCACCAGCAATTTCAATCCATTTTCCAGATGTTAAAAACTATTTGCCCAGGAATTTGAGACCAGCCTGGCCAACATGTAAAACCCCGTCTCTACTAAAAATACAAAAAGTAGCCAGGCACGGTGATGCACACCTGTAAGCCCAGCTACCTGGGAGGCTGAGGTACAAGAATTGCTTGAACCCGGGAGGTGGATACTGCAGTGAGTGCCAATCACCTCACTGTACTCCAGCCTAGGTAACAGAGTGAGACTCTGTCTCAGAAAACAAACAACAAAAACATCCCCCAAAATCTGCCCATAGAAAACCAGGTTGTTAATTCCATCCATGTCTGCTAACCCAGAAGAAGACAATGTTGCTAGAAGGATCATTTCCAAATAAAAATGACAATTTGTGTAATTAGTTTGCTAATGACTATAGTCCTAAAGAAACTTAGGAATAAAAAACTTAAGTTCAAGCAACCACAATTTTAAATTTGTACTCTACTAAATTGTAGGCTTGAAATATAAGGCAAAAGAATGCTTCCTGAGGACCAGTGCTGGAGCAAGTTGAATACAGTCAGCCTTCGGTGTACATAATTGTCCAAATATGTCCTATGGGTCCCCATACCTTCTTGCAGGACCACATGAATTTATAAAAAAAGTTGTCACAACAGTAATTTTTATAAACAAAAGACTTTATTTCAAATATATTTTACAGTCTGTGTTTAATTAGGATTGCTTTCCAGATTGTGAAATTTAAGAATAAATTGAACAAGCAATGTACAAAATAGTGGTGTTTACGTAGGCCTACTGAATTCCTACAATTGTTCTTGTAGCTTTTTCTTTCTTTTTAAATTGTATCAGTGGAGACATCAATGATAACACAGATTTTATCCTCTTGATTATATTTTGAATAGCAACAAAGTACCATTCCATTCCACATTTGTTTGCATCTTTAGAAACTGGCAATAAGGGGAGTAAAATCTCATGTATCTGGACCTAATTAGAAATGATAATATATTATTAACAGAGCTCAACCAATTCATACTTTGTGGTAAAAGTAGTTTGCTAAGCAAATTGGTAGAATAACTAAGATTGTAGGACAGATGTTAGCCTCCTTAAGAAAACATACTATTTTAGAGAGCTTTTAGCAATACTATTGCATACACTTTCCATACTAATTACAATGCTTACTTATAAAACAGGTCTTCTCAGCTAGCTATTAGATTGCTTTAGAAACTCAAGAAAATAGATTGGATTTTTTTCATAAACATTCTTTAAATCAGACATTGAACTAATTCATGCTTACCTTCACCTCCATTGTTATAACTGAGGTTTCAATGATGCTGTGAAGTTATATAGAGATGACTTCAGAACTTTTAAATTTGGTAAGAATGACAGTATAATGATTTTAAAAACACTTACGTGAACTTCAAACACCAGCAACTAAAATTGGCAAAATTGAAATTTTAAAAAACGGTGTCTTTTCACTATTGCCAGTATTTTTGTTGTTCAAGGCATTGGCAATAGGAAAATGATCTATTATTATATGCTAGTCCTAAATATTATGTAAGAAACTAAAAAAACAAAAAAAAAAAAACAAGAAAAGAATGTTTTCAGGTAAACTTTATTTGGTAGAAGAAAGAGGGTGGTGGTTGGGGCTTTCCACCTTGGTGAGCCAAGTTTCCTAAACAGGCAAGATTTTCACCATCCACATATACTTAGCATATCCTGGTAATGTTATTTCCTGAAGAAATGTAGGAGGAGATCATGACCAAGGCAACCATAGGTGGTCTATTATAAACACCGTACAGAACGTTTACTTCTCAATTCCTACAATGGATATTCTCCTTTCAAAGAACCTCAATTTGTTTTTCAAATATTCAGTGGGTTGCAGTTTTATATGTTTGTTATATTTTTAGTGTTCCACTTGCCTGGAGTCTCTGAAGTCTACTGCTTTGCCATGATGGGCTACACAAGACAGGGAAACAAGGAGTGGCAACGTGGTGAAGAACAAAATGCCCTCCAAACAATAGAGAGGGATTGGGAGTGCCTTAAAACCTCAAACCCTTGCCTACTTACTGACCCTGTTTCAAGATTTTCTCAGAGGCCTAAAGAGAAAGTATGGTAGGTCACAAAAGCTGCAGAATTTGACATGCAAGAAAAGGTAGGCAGAGGAAGAGAAAAATATCATCCCCACCTCCTGGTTGTTTCGGAACATGGGAGTATGCCGAATGACTTAGAGCTTTCAAATAGCAAAAGCTTTGTTCTATCCCCAGAGATTCTGATTTGCTACATCTGGGGTTGGGCCCAGGAATCAACATTTTTCACTGTTAATTCTGAAGCAGGTGGTCCGTGGACCAGATTTTGTAAAATGCTTCTGTTAAGGGATATAGTGGGCAGTGTTTGTAGAATAAACCCTTTTATATACTTGTATTCATCTGAACCAAATCTTACCTGACCCATTGTCTTGATACCTATTTAAAAAATCCACACACCCACCCACCCACCCACCCACCCAACCAACCAACCAACCGAACACCCTCATATGAAACTATTACATATAGAACTATCAAGGTAGAAAAACATTATGGTGGAAGAGACAAGCAAAAATGGCCATTGAAAGGAAAGGAGACTTCTTGTTTTTAACATTCACTAAAAATGTTTAAGGTAGAACTCAGAGGCTAATGTTAAACAATTCAGAAATATCCATTATTCAAAATTAGATACCAGCGAGGTGAAAATTATTTATAGTTCTTAGTAATTTCATGATCTGAAATTTATAAATCTTCTATACAAACAAAAGAATAAAGCACAGTTCTAAAGCATAGAAACCCCCCAACCCAAACCCCAACCCAAGGAGAGTGTCCAGCCAGGGAAAACAACAATATTAAAGGTGCTTTAGACTGTTGGGTTTTCAATTGTATTGAGTCAATTACATATAAGAAGAGTATCTTTTGACAGTATAGTGAAGCTAGATCGTCTGAGTGAGATACATATTAACTCCTGACTGTCTTTCCCGGAATGTCCACAACTAAAAATTAAACCTTTAGTTCTCAAAGTCAGTAAGAGGGGTTAATTATATAAAAAACAAGATTAAATTTCCATACTTTTGTTCTTTTCATAACAAAACTAAGAATTACACCCTCATAACAATAATTGTGAAAAGAAACACAGTATAATAGGTAAAGAACACATTTGCTGTTTTTATTGGTGCCTTGCATGGCAGTAATACTGAAAAAGGAGAAAGCAAAAAAATAAAATAAAATAAAAAAACGAAAAACAGGTTGGTGGCAACCCACATCTTTTTTTTAAGAGCACATAAACTCCTGTTTTATTTTTATTGTGGCATGAATGATAACATAAAACCAAAAACATGAAAATATACAACTTATATTACACTATGTGTTATGAACAAAATATAAATCTATAACTCTATGTTATATTTACATAATTATTTATTTTATTAAATTTCAAGTGAGATGGTAGGTTGCACATACTTTGTTTTAAGCTCCAGGCATTTGATTGTCTCTTTTCTACATTTTTTTCCATTTCTACTTGTAAAATTCAAAATGTTAGAAGGACTAAGAGCTTTAGAGCCAGTGGAGCTATATAAATACTGTTTTAGTGAACCAGTGACAGAAACACTGGGGAGGACAGGAATCAATCAGTAGGAAACTCAGCACATCATCTTCAACCTGGGAAGTTGATAGTTATAGGAAACTTTAAAATTAAATACTCGAAAAGCCTGGCTAAACCGACAGCTATGCCCTACAAGACAAAGAGATACCTGAACCACTTTAAGTGGCCTTCATAGTTTTCCTTGCAGACCCCGTAAGTTTTATTTTACTATTAATTTGATAGACAAATATCTTATAAACCTGTTTGTAAATATACAGTTGTTTATTACAATTCAATAATTTACCCATTAGAATGAATGAAAGTGTAATTATTTTTTATGTTTTAAATGTGACATAATAGGTTTCTTCTGGGAATAGTCACAGCTTCTGGATTAAGAAAATATCTGAAGTTGGACCATAAAATGGTTAATTTTCTCTAAATGAATTAAGGTAAAATTCTACTCCAGAAATCAAAACTATAAAATAGTTTCACCAAAGAAAATTTTTTTATATTTGTTCTTTATAAGAGGATTTGGTTTTAACAATGATGATTATGTTCTTTGGGAGGGATTTTATACATGGTTAACTCTTAACTGCAGATGTCAAATGAACTTTAAAAATGGACTTAACTAATTTAGGTACAAATGTACTGAAGAATAGTTTTATATTTTATCCAACTGTAGTAACTTAATCACTAAGTTATTATTAGTAATTATAAATGAGTAACTTTATTTTCTCCAGTGATGTTCTCTTAAATTCATACAAAAACATTACTATTTTTAGAGAAACTGATTAGAACAACTATAAAAAACAGAATTCTGGAAAGATTATTTGTCAGTGTTGGGGCAAGTGTGTGTGTGTGTGTGTGTATGTATGTGTGTGTGTAAGAGAGAGAGAAAGGGAAAGAGATAAAGTGTGAACAGGTAGGTAAGAAAGCAGAGAGGAGGGAGACTGTGTTTTTGTTTGAACTTTTGATCTTACTCTCATTTTCTTTATCTTTTTTGGTCATTATGGGGCACAGAAAAAGAATACAGGGTTTTAGGATCCTCGACCAAAATTATCAATCAACCAAATGTCAAAAAGGCAATGTAGTAACACAGTAAGTTGCTATTCATAGCACCTTTTACCAAGTGATTTCTAAGCACTTTCAACATGAATATAACTGTTTTTGCTTTTGTTTTGGGGAAAACTAGGGCAAAGAAAATTTGATATCCAGTGAATTAACCATCAGAACAAGAGAACAGCATGCAGGGCTATGAACCTGCTTTTTGTTTCAGTTCATGCACAGTTTAGTCTCGGATATAAACGTAGCTAGGATTAACTTTTGAATTTCAGCAGTTAAAAGTCACCATTAACAATTTGTTTTCCCCTTCAAATAAAACAAAATAAAACAGAAAAAGACTAAACAGAAGTGTTGTCAATTCACTGGTGTGTTGTAATTGGTTTCAGCCACGAATGCCTTCAATGGCATCTACCTGGAGCTAAAACAAAGTATTCTTGTAGCCCAAAGTCATGAAATGAAAACAAAGCATCTTTTATAACATGGTGTGAAGTAAGTATCCAGCAAACGTGAGAGGTGAACCCACATAACTCAGAAGGAATTTGTTAACAAAGACAGAGAACAAATTTGTTAAAAATCTGTTTTCACATTGTACATAATAATGATATAAAAACAAGTGTCTAGTTTTTCCTTATCCAGAGTGCTTAAAAACAAAATAAAACAAAAAAAAATTGGCTCTAGATGACTGTGGCAATTAAATAACTAAAATGAGTGATGAGAGCATAAGTTAATTAAGATTGAACACGACCCTCCTATGAATTCACTCCTTTGTTTTAAACATCAGAACTGATATTGTTGGGGCCAACATTCTTAAAAAGGAGAAAACTTATGGAAGGAGAAGTAAAATTGTGTGGGTAAATGTGTGTGTGTATGTGTGTATATATGTGTATATATTTATATGCACACACACACATATATACATATACATACATATATGAATTGGAGATGGAAATTTGTTTTAAATATCTAACAGCTTATTGGCTGCACTTCCAAATCGGAGCAGAATAAAATAGAAGGGGAGAAATAAAATAAATTATACATAACTTACTAATCTGGGAACAGCTGACCATTATTATTATTACTATTATTATTATTTTATCATCATCATCATTATTACAACACTAGCAAAAAGAGGCAGTTCAAATGAAAATAAAGTCATCAAAAACGGGAAAAACAAACATAACAAAATCTCTGACATGCAGGATATGATCAGCTCCTCCAAGCAAAACCCCAGAGCAAGTCTTTTGAGAGAGAGAAAAATAAAAGGGTTTCTTCTTTTAATTTATATGTAAAAATCCAACTTTAGGGTGGTGTTTAGTGGGGGTGGAATAGGAAAATGATGACTGGAGTGAAACTATAGCACATCCAGCTACTAGCTGCAGTATTTACTATCTGATACTTCAATACAAATAATGGCAATTGACTTGAAATGATTTTGCATTTATTTGTACAGGCCCTACAACTGCCTTGGCGTTTGGCTGGCAAGATCTACATAAGCAGTCCCATCACATTCAGTTGTTGCTCTTCACAAATACTCTGCTTGAACCAAAGTTGGACTTCAGTGGATTCATCTGACAGCAAGGGAAGAGCAGTGGCAAGGATCCCTGGGTGCAGCCAGGCTCCATTTTGTTGGGCTGCAATGACTTTTAATTAAATCCTACTTTTTATGGCATGAACTACACATGGCCCACACTTCTGAAATGCTAAAGGCCTCCACCTCGTTTCATGGAGGGGTGAAAAATACCTTATAAAATCATCAGTTTCATTTCCTGATCAGGAAAGGATGGAATGTTGAAGAAATAAGCTAATTCTATTCATCTGAAAAATGGCCAAATATATTCAATGAAAACAATGATTGTTTTGCTCGAAATATCAACAGGAAAAACAAAGATCTCTAAGTAGCAAACATTAATAGAACCAACTGACCAGGGAGAAAGGACATCTGGGAACAGTTTGCTAGTAGCTTCCATGTTATACATGCACACCTCTATTACACAGGGCCACCTGATCCATCCAATAATAATCATATTAGACATTTAAAAATATAATTTCTGAGCCCTATACTTGGTTAAGTTGTCATTTGAAGTGCAAAGTCAAGGTCAAGATTATTTCTAGACCAGTCACTTGGGAGGATGTGGGATTTCATCCCCAGATGTGGGTTTAACTCACAATGGTCCAACGTTATTCCTATTAGTACCATAATCACACACATACATACACACAAAAATCCAAGATCAGAAAATATTTTTCTCTAAATTTCTTATGTCTCTCTCTCTTTTCACCTGAGAACAGCACCTACAGTTTCCATTAAAAAAAAAAAAAAAGTCAAATCTCACCAGCTGCTGGTATTTCAGGTTTTCTAAGGGATTGTCTAAGATATAACACTGTCCTAACTTAAGAAGGTACAGGAAAAAGGAAAGGGAAAAAATGAACTTGGTCAACACTTCAGTACAAATTTGGCACTTGCTCAAAGATGTAGTGTGGTGTGCAACAGATAAAGAAAGTCCTCTAAAGAAAATAATTGCTTATTTTGTGGTGGATAGCAAGTAAGTTAAAAACAGGCTCTTTTTCCCTCTTCCCCCTCATGCACAGACTTCCATCTTTAATGTATAGAGATGGAGAAGGTGGAGAGAAGTAAAGAGAAATTCATTTTTCTTTTTTTTCTGTCAGGTGCATTACAAAGAAAACAAATGAAAGAAAAGAAAAAGAAAAGGAAAAAACCCAGAAACCCCCCAAAACAAAACAGAACTTATTTCTTTTTAAAAATTGTAGCACAAAACAACAAAACACATTCACAAGCCACTTGTTGGCACTGTGTACCTGAGTGAGAATTTCTAGAACATTGTAGAACAAACAGCCATAAAGTTTATTAAAAAAAAAAAAAAGTTGACGGGTAAGACTTCAGTGCTTGGATGTAGCAGCTGAATTACTGGCATTATTTTACCCATAGCTTATTTCAATCTCTTGTTGTTGATACTGTTGTCTGCTTGTTGTATTTTTTTTTCTTTCCAAGCCTTTTGAGGCTGAGGTCTATTAGTCAGCTGATGTCCCAACTATTTAAGACTAACAGTTAAAGTAACAGTCAGTGTATGAGAAAGTTAATGTGCTTGGCCACTGGTAAGGATGAACCAGTTAGGGCTTCTTTAAGTCCTAAGGTCACAACAATCTTTTGACCCTTATCAGTTGGCTTGTCCTGCAATATGGTTTTCACTGTCACTCCCATAATCTACATCTGGATCATCCTCTTCCTCATCGTACTCATCATAAATTTCTCCATTGATGTCCTCGGCCTGTATCTCTTCTTTGATATGTGGCTCCTCTCCTTTCACACCGTAAGTGCTCTGGATAACAGGCATCCCAGGCTCTGGGCTGCTAGACACACTTGAGTGCTCCGAGGGCAGGTGAGGGGAGGGCATGCCAGCCATGGCGATGGCTCCAGGGTACACAACACCGGCAGTGGCAATGGGGATCTGTGCTTGTTGCCTGTCAAGAAAGGAATTTCCAAAAAGAGATCATGGGTGACTGAATAGTTAGATGTGGACTTTACTATTTGCTCAGCAACGTCCAATTCTAAGATAATGATTTTATCTAATTGTCTAACATTTTTCAAACTGTATCCAACTTTGACTTTAATACCTTACTTCTATGTAGTGCTTCATAAATTACAAGACCTTTACATGTATTGTTCATCTTATTCTTAATTCTGTTTTGTGACTACTGCTTTATTAAAAAAACTGAGGGTACAAAAAGATGAGGCAGAAGAACCCAGGTCCTTAACTCCAAGTTCATTTTTCCTTCACTATAACATGCAGAAATGGTATTTTTCCCTAGAATTAAACCTAAAGATAATTTCATTTTAATAGGAAAATCCGAAAGTATTAGAGTTCTCAAAATAAAATGCTCCTACCAGAACACACCAGAACTGAACAAATTCACACAGTCTACCGAGTCTCGAAAACAGCTTTAGCCTCATAGTGGTAGGAAGCAGGACCAGCTTCATGGATGTACAAACTGTGCAACTGCACTAATGTCCCATCCTTTGGGTTAAAGCTATGCTGCCACAGACTTGAAATTCCTAATAACTGTTTTTTTTTTTTTTTTTTTTTTAAATAAAGATGGGGTTTCACCATGTTGGCCAGGCTGGTCTTGAACTCCTGACCTCAGGTGATCCACCCACCTCGGCCTCCCAAAGTGCTAGGATTACAGGTGTGAGCCACCACACCCGGCCAAAATTCCTAATAACTTTTTAACAAGAGATTCTGTCTCCTCATTTTTGCAACTGGTCCTATAAATAACGTAGGTGGTCCTATAGAAAGGGATGAATAGATGATGTTCATTTATGCTCGTTTTTATTCATTCATATGTTTACTATGAATGAATTAACCCAAGAACTGTTGGGTTTTGTGTTTAGCTTTGTGAGGAGTCATGTGCTTGCATATGAATCACAGACCCCTGGACAGAGCATGCAGCCTCTTCCAAGGAACTGGAGGGGACAGAGCAGACTCGAAAAGGCTTTTATAAGTTATTCTCTGCGCATATTTAGAACAATATTTATTATTCTAAGTAGCTCTTAGGAACGAACTTCTATTTCAAAGAAAAACAGCCTTATTTTTGTGTTTGAGAGAATTCTGTAGAAGCAATGCATTTCTGTAGAACATCTACAACACTTTCAATGACCTTGCCACAGGAGCACTGTAAAACATCTTGGAGCTGTGTTCTCGGTTCAGAATGAAACTTCCTGTTCATAACCTTGTTGTGCACTACATATAATCCCTAGCTTGTGTGACCTACAAGGGCCACACATGTACCTTGATGGCTCACTAACCTCTCTATATTTAGAAATAAGTATTTTTTCTTTCGAAATGATTTTTTTTGTATTGTCTCAACAAAATTGTCAATTGTAGAATTGATCACGGTGAAGCTTAGGAGGTAATGCAAACCAATGAAGAAAAGAACCAGTTAAACTTCTAAGTTTTTAATAGAAAGCTTCAAAATTATTTACTTGTAGTGATCTTATTTTTAAACTAGTTGTTAACAAATCTCATGTTAGAGCTAGGAACTTGCAGTGGATTCATATGGATATATTTTTCAAGACCATGTGGGAGACTGTTAGTCTCTGAAAATACTCTGAGCTCAGATTCTCTTTCAAAATGCCTCTTTGCAACTGAACAAATATGTTTCACATCCCATTAAGTATAACAGGAAGTTTGCCCCATGAGAATAATGACTGAAGGGTCCATACCCAACATTGAAGTACTGCCGCATCTCCTGCCGCCTGTTGCGCATGATTGCCTTGTATTCACCAATGCGCAGCTTTTTGCCATCCACGAGGCAGGTGCGCTTTGGCCTGGGCTTGTACTTATAGTCAGGGTACTTCTCCAGGTGCTGCTTGCTGAGACGGGCTTGCTCCTCATAATATGGCTGTTTCTCTAGGTTTGTCATAGCTTTCCAGCGAGATCCTATGAAGAAAGAAGGTTAGGATGCCAATTTGCATAGCTTCGAAGCATTCTAAAAAGAGATATAGCTGAGAACAAGAAAATCTAAAGTAGGGATGTTGGCCAAAACCCAGAAATACATAAACCTGTTTTTGATTAGCGAGATCCCACAAGAACAGAGGTAGTGGTGGTTTTGTACCTAAAGATATAAACACTAGGCCATTCATTTTTTTTCTGGCTTGAATTCATAGTTTAGCCAAACTTCTGTATTATGTACCCAAAAGCTCATAATTTAATGAATATATTTCTCATTTCTACATTAGATCATAATTCACGTGTGAACAAAAAAGTTCCATAATATTTTATCACACATTTTGAGTCTGAGCCTAATTATCTAGTTGTTGAGTATTTTATGCGGGAGATGTTTTTTACTACAAAAGTTCCTAACATATATCATGTAGTCTCACCCTCCCCAAAGTGTTTAAGTATTTTATGCTTATGAAAATGATAGTAATTAAAAATTCATTTTATTAACCATTTAATTATACTTAAAATTATAATAGTAATCAACATGGACTGAATAACTACTATGTGCCATATACTATGCTAAAAGCTTAACATACATTATCCTTTTCCTACCTTTCACCTTGATCTTATAAGACAGACAGCATTTCTATCTATTTTCATAGATGAGAAAATTGAGATTCAAACTAACCTAGCCAGGGCCATAATGAACTGCAGATCTGTGGCTCAAACTCAGATTTGACAGAACTTAAATTGTGCTATAATGTATGGCATTTCCTGTATATGGCCACCTAAAAATATAGCAGAAGTCACTATTACAGTAAGTGTGTACTGAGTAAGATTTTCTTTTAATAAATCGATTTCAATAACATACAAAGATGTCACTTCCCATAATATAGTCTGCATTTGCAATAATAACTCAAATTGTTTCCCCCTTTCTTTTCACTATTAATTTTGGTGTGGATTTAGTTGGGATTAAAAAAGACAAGTTTGAAGCTTAAATACAAATAGTTTCTGCTAATTCACATTTTCGATATGGTTTAAAATGTTGATTCTGTCAAAGTTTTTTTCAAATAGAAGTGGTAGTAATAGTGTTTACTTTTTATTAAGAGAGAGTTAAAAATCTATTTGCAGATGAAGTGTGTGTTTATCTGCAAATAGTCATCTCAACTCAACCCGAATGTACAAAGAATGAAAAATGACAACTGGGATATAGCTACCAAATGGTCTTTTACCTGCCTTTAAATGTCATCTAAGTAAGATCTTAGAAGCTTTTGAATGAGTTTATTACTCACCCATAACACCATATATTAAATGCAAATAACTCACTGTTGAATAGTTCTTACCTACACCTGTAGAGCATTCCTCATATAGGCTGTTACATTTATTAAAGCATGCAGGGAAAGAGGCAATATCTCTTCCCTTAGAAATGTTGAAACTTTTTCCCTTAGAAATTGGAAGAGATATTGCATAGGTATAAATATAATTTTTTCCAAATCTAGAAAGCCAATATGAATTTATTCTATTTACAATAAAAACTCAGGTTACAGTTTAAATAATAAAGTTTCTTTTTCCACTCCTTTCTTAAACTTCTATTTAAATAGCATTATCCAAAATTAAGTTGGTTGGTCAAGCCATACCATTCGTAGGTATAATCTCAAACTCCTGTTGGCCCAGCATTATTCTCTGAAGATACTTGAATATCATTATGTTATTCTCAGGGTATTTATAAACACAGATATGGTTATAATACTATTAAACTAGAACAACTCTTTTCATGGAGTTTCTTCCAAGCATTTATACCAGTTTTTTAAACTTCAGATCAGGGAGTGGAAAGGGAGCTTACTCTAAATAACTCACAAATAGAAATACACTGAAAAATGGATCAAGGATGGTTCATCTGGTGTAAAATCTATTAGCTATCTTTATCCCAAAATTCAAAAATGAAACCAGCATTTTCAATTAGAATAGGAATTGCCAAAGACTCTTCCCTAAGTTTAAATTATCTACAAGCCAAAAAGCTTTTGCTCTTCAAAGGAAAGAAATGTATATGCTTTGAAGTAATCTGCCTTGGAATGTGAGAGTTGTTTTTATATTCCTACTATGTGCATAATGTTGTATTAATTACTGATATGAAGTAGTGAGTGAATAAAAAAGTTATAGTTCCTGTCTCTTTGAAGCTTATATTCAATCATGGAATACACATTAAATATCTAATTATAAAATTTATTTTCCTTATAGTTGTGGAAAGTGCAGGAAAGTAAGAGAACATATGATAAGGAGGTGAGATCAATCCTCTGCAGGTCAGCAAGGCTTTGCTGTAGGAATGACTCCTCTGGGGATCACAAAGAGAAGAACATCCTATTGAGGAAGAATATAATACTTGAGGTCTTTCAGTGGAAAGAGGAATTAGACTAACTTAAGGAAAGCTGGTCTGGCTTAAAAAAAGAGGAAAAAAAAGATGCATGTATATCAAGAAATGGGATGATAAAAGATGTGTAAATTCTTAGATAAGTTTGTTTCTAAATCTGGCATGAGTGGGAATTACAAAATAGTTTAACTCCTGATAGTATAATTTCTCTGAAAGTATCACTGAATCTAAATTACATTTTAAAATATGGTCATATAATAATTCCAAGTCTTTTCAAGAATTAAGATAGCTAAGCACAAACTGGGGCAAATGGCTAGCTACTACATTTTATGACAGTACAGAGCAATGTTTCCATGTGGTGGTAAATCCAGTTTTCATTTTCAAAACAGTAACACTGAGTTAGGTTAACCAACTGACAAGTTTGGTTTTGATTTCAATGGCTTTGCAGGTACGATAACCATTGTATTCAGCTGAGGTGTTAACTAACCCCTGAAACACACTTGATGAGAATGATAGAAAGCATTTTGGGTATCACCAAAAAAAGATAAAAAATATCTACTTAATTTGGGCGTGGCTGGCTGCTTACTCTGTATTGATGTCCAGGGAGTTTATTCCCTGCTGCTTTCAAAAGGTTGGCCTTTTAGAATAAAAAAGCAGAGAAGGACAATTGGGTTTTCCTCCTGATGAGAAAAGAGGAAGTTTCAATCAAAAATATTTGATGCTCTAAATAGAGCGGAATAAAAAGGTCCTATAATTATTCCTTTCCTTTCTAAATCTGGCAATACACTAAAAGTGAAGAGTTTGAGCTGAGGAACATTGTCATCTCCATGGGGTCTGTAATGAATTTACACATTCTACTCCAACTACTGTATATGTAATCAGAAAAAGATGTCCCTCATCCCCTGATCTAGCGCCAAGCAGTAAAAGGTGATTCCTTATGTTAACAATTTCAGCAGAATGGCTTATTAAAACCAGATTTTAGGGTATTATAAAATGCTTAGAAGCCCTTTAAAATGTCAACTAGGATCCCCAGAGACTACGTAAAATGTCAACCCAGCTCAAGCGCCTGTTTTAAGCAGAATGAATTAGCGGCATGCTGTCGAGGCTGTTATCCAAAACAATCAGCAAAGAGGAAAACATCAAGCTTTCTTTGTACTTTTGTATGAAATGGGCCATTTAGAATGCTCTTGTGAATATTTGACAGTCACTTATTTATTTAAAGCTGTGACTAAATACTGAGGCCCAAAACACCTCAATGTTTTTTTTGTTCCCAAATATAAATGTTGTATCTTTTAATAATACATTTTCATCAGAAAGACTGAAATTAGGCAGTATTCTCTTTCATGTTGTCTATTATGATATAATCATATGGTCATTCTAATATCCTTTCCCTTAGATCAGAAGGGAATTATCTTAGCCAGTCATCTCTTTTCCAAGGAGGCTTTTGCTACATTTCCTAAAATATCATTTCATCAAAACTGGTATTTCTTATAGTTAAGATAGTTTTAATTGGTGATTATCACCTTTTTGGTATTCAGACACATGAGTTGAATAATATAAAGCCAATTTTGAAATCTTAGCATTTGACTTCTTCTTTATTCTGACAATTTTGGATGTATAATTTGGGAATAACTGATACATTAAAACTTGAAATATGCTTACATAAAGTATTCTTTTCTAGAGTTTTTCCAGATGAAACTGGTATGTTGTTTTGTAAAGATGGGAAATTTCATATGGAAGGTAGACTATAGTCACAAAAAGGAAAAACAGACCAGCACTGGTGGAGATGTAAAAAAATATGGATTCCTCTTGATCAGTTCAAGTTTTTGATTATGCACGATATATATTTTTACACACAGATTTTCATATTTTCTATCTGTACTACTGAAAGCTTTGTATGTTCATGTCTTTTTAGATAAGATTTAGGTGAAAAATGAGATACAAGTTTAAGTGGCTAATGGTTTCTGTTTTGATCCCATTACGAATGCACCTTGTGGACTGGGTGGCATCTATTACCTTTGTTGAGAATATGGGATCATAAAAACTCATGCGGCCGGAAGAGGTGGCTCACACCTGTAATCCTAGCACTTTGGGAGCCTGAGGCAGGTGGATTATCTGAGGTCAGAAGTTCGAGACCAGCCTGGCCAAAATACAAAATTAGTTGGCTATGGCTGCCCGCACCTGTAATCCCAGCTACTCAGGAGGCTGAGGCAGAAAAACTGCTTGAACCTGGGAGGCAGAGGTTGCAGTGAGCTGAGATCGCACCACTGCACTCCAGCCTGGGTGGTAAATCGAGACTCCATCTCCCAAAAAAAACAAAAACAAAAACCTCATCAATATGTTAGCCATTTATAGATGATCGGTAAAGAATCAAAAGTGGTACTATCATTATAAACTCCATGTAATTCCAAGTGCACCACGAATTTGAATAAAGCCTTAATAATTTTGACAAATTTGGTTACTTGTTAAAGCCAACATTTTCTGATCAAATATTTCTATTTTATTTTTATCATTAAACTCTTAGAAGTCACAGAGTGAGTAATCAAAATTTTCTTAGATTGTCGAGTATTTGGCCATCAGGCTACTTGAAGGTGAAGATTATGAAGACAAAGGTATTGATGAAGATAATGATAATTACAATGATAATGATAATTACAATGATAATGATGTCAAGGTAAGGCACAAAAGCAATGGAATCTTCTCTTTTTTTTCCCCTGGGACCTGAATTGTTCTATAATAGGTATCTTTTTAATCTGCACTGTATCTTCCCAACCATTTTTCCTGTGTGCTTCAGTGTCTGTGTAGGTAGAGTAAATATGTACTTTGTTTTCTGTTAAATTGAATGTTGCAATGGCAGAAAAGTCTCCTTTTAATTATCCTGAGAAGTATTAAAAATTATTCTTACTAAAAGTATCTTTAGTTCTCAAGGTTACTAAAAGTATAAATGTAGAAATGTACACTCTACATCTTCCTGTGTTCTGAGAATCTAAAGCTGATTTTCAATTGTAGCACTGGAATAAATATCTTCACCACCTCCACCCTCACCCCCACAACATGATGAATTCTACAAACAAAACTCCTTATCCTTCTGTTACAGAGGATGATGAGAGAGGAAGGAGACCTTAAGATTACAATAAGTTGTCTATAGTATGCAATGAAATGAATAAAAGTGATCAGTAGCAATGTCTAGTGACTCATGTGAAAGCAACTTTTTTCTCAGCCTTAGTAAAAGTATTTCTAATTTTTGAAGATGATAAAGCATTAAAATAATTAGTATGAAAACAGACAGCTAAATGAGCTATAGAAATATGGTATATTTCCCAATGAACATGGAATGCTTCATCAACAGAAGAAGCCTCAATGACGATGCTTATTTTCTGGATAAGCAGATATCATGAGCTACATGGCCTCCAAATCCAGGATCCTCCCACAGCTGCAGGAAACAGGGCAGTGCCTTTATTCCATATGTCACTTAGTTCTTAATGTTTTTCTTACCCAATATCTTGCTGATGTTGGAGTTGTGCATGTCAGGAAAGGCTTGAAGGATCTTTCTCCGTTCATCTTTAGCCCATACCATGAAGGCATTCATTGGACGCTTTATGTGGGGTTCATTGCTACCACGTCCTCTGGATTCCCTATAAATTCTTGACTCTGAGACTCCAGCACTTCCTAAAAACAGGACATACCACTTCGTGTTAGTGTTAAAACTTTTGGCAACTCTTTTCCTTGCATTCCTATTTTTTAGTCTATTAAGATATCTGAAAACAAAAAGTACTTCTGATAATGGCACTTCTAGTTCTTAAGACAGATGCTTGTTTATGAAGTTTTTGTGATAAGTCTTGTGGTGGCAAATGTTCTATTTGTATTTTTAACCCATTTCTAATCTGTTTTCTCTTTCTTTTAGTGAACTGTTTCCCCATTTACTTTCAAAAGCTCACAATAAACTCCAAAATGCAATTTTTGATGCAATTTGGAAAGAGAATAGTTAGATTAAATCAATAGGCATGCCAGTAGTGTAGAAATATGACATAGGTAAAGAAGTAGAGATAAATTTGGCAGAATGGATGATTATAGGGGAGGATATATTTTTGCTAAAGACTGTCTGAACATATGTAAATAAAAACACCAAATTTTGAGGTTAAAAACAGTATAGATATTTCCCTGTAACATAATTGTCTTTTCTTTGAAATTATATGCTGATAAATACATAACATATGCTGATACAGCAATGACAGATCTGCCCCCCAAATATATGTAAAAATGGTATGGAAAAGAACAAATAAACAGTTATATTACTCTAGTTTCTTAAGGAGTCTAAAGTGACATGTTTAAGGTGAGAAAACTAATAATTTCCCTTGAATTTTCCCCCTAATATCTAAAGTTATCCAAAGAGTCCCATGGACAGTTACATTTCAATCAGTAAGATTCACAGATGATAAAACACAACTAATGAGTTAACAGTGATAGCTCTGGAAGATGCATTCACTCCTCCAGCCTTATGCGACTCTTAGAATGGCTTCAGCAGACTAAATAGCTTCCAAGATACTTGAGTTTAGGCAAACAAAAAATAAGGAGAACCAGTAGAACTCTGACGGTAGATTTTCACTGGTTATTATCACAAAGGCTGTAGATGTATTTTGGTGGTATCTAAAAGTTGAAAAATACTTTGGGGATTTCTAGAGACTGTATTATCAACAAAAGCACTGCTTCTCTTTTCTTGCTTTGCATTTGTTCCTCATTTTTTCTTTTTTAAATTTGAAGAAACAGGAATCCAACAAAATTGCCCAAATTTGAAGACCTCTATAGCGACACATTAAAAACAGCATACCTGTTGGTGACATTTCTCAATATTTCTCATTAATAACATGCTCTTTGGTTTAATGAAAAGTGGAAAATACTGTACATATAAGCATGATTGAATTTAACTAATGACAGCAACAAAAACTTTGATGTTTTAAAGCTGATTACTGTGGGTTTATTTTATCATGCTAATATAGCTTAAAATTTATGAAATGTGTTATTACCAGTAATTGTCTTTTATTGACAAAATAAGTGCAAATATATGGCAACATCTTCCTAAAATAGGTTCGTAACTAGCAAATGATCATTTGCACATCTGCCTTTCCTTGTTCTTACACCTTAGAGCGACATAAGCAATAAAATGAACATTATGTGTCTTCATCAAATCTAAACAAGCTCTTTAAATGTATACAGGCTAGGTTTATCTTAGCTAACTGAAGTAGAAAATAGAAAATGTTTGTGACATTAGACTAGAAAAATGCAGAGTGAATCAAATTGAATGAAATTCAGTTTTGAAAGAATTATGTGTTTCAATGTTCAGGTTTGTTTAGTCCCTTGACTCGTATAGACCTGGTCTTAAAAGTAGAATTGGCCCAAGGCACGGAGTAGAGAGCTGTGTATATTGGAGGATTCAAGGGGACCCTCTCTTAAAGTATGCATCTCATTGGTTTGCCCTGGTGCAGCACTCTTTTCTATATGCAGGGAACTTCCCCGTAGTGGTAACAAAGTTGAGAGCTGTGTCACCAAAGGGACACTTAAAAAGCATGTATGTTACCTGACAGTAGGGCGATGTTCCCAGTCAGGGTATTGTATAAGAAGAACAGCACGTTCTTCTTTTTCCCTCTTTGCTATGCTATTAAAAATCAGAGTATCAATTGAATTTGTTGTCACTGTGGATGTTCAGAATGTTCAGAGATGACACAGAAAACAGAAGTCTAGAGGCCTATGAGAGGGGAGCATAAAGCCGTGCAGCTGGATTCTAGTTAGGTTATAGAGAGTGGACAGGACTCTTGACTATGCAATACATAACACTGGAGAGGAGGGTTCCAAAATGTAAAAAAATATCCTGGAAATGTCCTCTGAGCTATGTATTCTGGTTAGGGCTTGGCAAATGGAAACTTAAGAATGAGCTGACAGAGACAAAATTCTGAAAATGTTTGTTTTGGGTACAAGAAAAAGGGAAGCGAGGCTGTGTGCAGCAGCTCATGCCTGTAATCCTTGCACTTTGGGAGGTTGAGGTGGGAGGATCACTTGAGGCCAGGAGTTTGAGACCAGCCTGGACAACACAGTGAGTCCTTGTCCCTACAAAAAAAGTATATACACATGCACGCACACGCACACACACACACGCACATGCACATATATACACACACCCATATATGCTGGGCATGTTGGCATGCACCTATAGTCCTAGCTTCTCTGGAGGCTGAGGTGAAAGGATCACTTGAGCCTGGGAAGCTAAGGCTGCAGTGAGCCATGACTGTATTACTACACTCTAGCTTGGGCTACAAAGCAGGACTCTGTCTCAAAAAGAAAAAAAAAAAGACAAAGAAGGAAAGAAATAGGGAAGTGAGGGATGGAGTAGCTGGTGATTAAGGGCATTTGCTTTAGAATCATGCCATCTCAATTCAGTTCCTGCCTGTGGCACATAGAGCTCTCTGACCTGGGGAAAATGCTTCAAAACTCTTGAGGCTCAGACTCTTTCTCTGCAATGGGACTTATCATAGTTGACTAGGAATTAAATGAGATGATTCATGCAAAGCACTCAGCAGGGTGCTTAGCACATGGGAACTGCTCAGTTTATGTGACCTCTTATTGTAATGATCAGGTATGAGGTGGCTGTCTAGTCTATTTTTTAGCAGTTTTAATTAGCACAAAATAGACACTATCGTGCATTATTGGAATATATATGAACAATTTTCACAAACCATCAGAATCTCCACTCAGATTGAAATCCATCATTGCATGGCTAAATTTTCCTTCTTCATTCTGTTTAACTGCCAGTTGCTGAGTCAGACTCTCCAGTGTTGTTTTTTCCTTTAAAAAAATTACAATGAGAGATCAGTCTAGGAATTACAATTATTTGAAGACATTTTATTTTCTTGGGCCGTATGTAATACATTAGCCTCTGGAAAGGATGCAATGTTGATTTATTCCCCTTTGCACGTTCAGCACATTAAGCTGAAGTCATTAAGGGAATGATCAGCGGGATTTTTGAAGGAACTCCGATTCTCATAGCCTCAATAAAGTCTTGGCATTTGGGTTTGGTATGCCTAAAGGATATATGCCGGGATCCTTGGAGATAACCTTCCCACATCACAAAATGTGCACAGAAAGTTCATGGAAACAACCTGTTTTACATTTGGAATGTCTGCTTTATTTTTGGCCAGACAGTAGAAGTATAGGAGTGGCATGGAGCCCAGAGAAAGTCTTCCAATAGTCAGGTGACCAAATAATAGAAACATAATTCACAGTAGTGCCCTCTGGTTGCCATCTTCCCAAATGCCATCTGCATTCCTCATGCAAGGGTAATGAAGACGTTTAAATATTCATTGCTAATTGCTTGTCAAGTCTCTGTACATCCAATGTGAGTGCCTGCTACTTGGACCACAATTTGATTTGGATTGCTAAGCCAAAATATTGAGTTGGCGAATTATTTGAGACACAAATATACCAAAATTAGATCTACAGAGACATCAAGTTGTTGAGGCATGCAGTGCACGATTTACATTCATGGAGAACACAGCATTACAAAATAAATTTTTTCAAGAAAAATATAATGCTTAATCTATAAACCACATGAGACATGAAACTACTGTCAGATTAAGAAACTGGGTGACTTAGGAACAGAAAAAGCATGTAATGAAAGGCTGGTAACTTCCTGTTGAACTTCCTAGCATTGCTCTGAGGATGATGCAGTTCTAAAACGGTTTAAAGAAAGCATCCATTGGACCTCGTAACATTGTCTCAAGTTTCTTTATAAATTATTCACCTGGTTTCTGAGGAACGTAGTCATGAATCATACTAGTGAACCACATACACTGCAGAACTGCTATTGACACCATAAAATGTTCACAGAAAGTAATCAATGATTTAAGATAATTATGTTATGGATAAAGGGCCCAACTAATGTTCCCATGAAGAACCAATAAGATCCTAAAATTCTTAATACAGTAGATGCTTTATCTCAATGAAGTCTCTGACAATGTGACAATTATACATACTAGATTAAAAATTCTCTTAAGTTAGGGGCCTTGAAACTCCTGTAGTTTATTCATCAAAGTATGTACATTCTTTAATGGAAAACTATTTTTAAATTGTCAATCAGTATAAAATATAGTAGAGAAACTGGAGACAAAATAGTTTATATGAACTTGGTTCTACAGAATTAAATGGTATTAAAGTTGAAATAAGTTACATATTTAAAACTGTAGAATCTGACTCGATTTGTTTTGTGTGTGAAGTTGTTGTTTTCAGCTGCTTTATATGTTTTGGATGTCTTTCGCAGAGAGAGTCAGCTGTATATATTCAGCTGAGCTCAGGAACATCAAGGACACCAGCTTAACAGACTTTCTTTACAGTAAATGTAGCTGTTAAAACAAAAGACAGTTACATTTTAAAACACACACACACACATTCCATCAACGTGATCTGATAGTCCTCGGGTCAATGAAGACTTTACTGTACTCTCTTTGAGGAATGTATTGGGCTTGGATCACCTCTCAGCTTTTGATTTAACAGTACAGGGCAATAATACTACACATTTTCTAGATAGTTTTCCATTCTGAAGCAAAGTCTTTCAAGAAGAAAGAACGAAATGAACTCAATCAAAGTAGAAAAAGAATGACACATTAAGCAACTTTCAAGATTCTGAGTTCAGCTCTACAGATGCTGTGCTCTTACCAAGAGACTAAAATTAATAAATATGAGCGGGAAAGTCACAGTCAGTTTTTACAGTAAGTAACTCATAACTATCCACCACTAATGCACACTTGGGGAAGTCACGCTCAGTTTTTACAATTAGTAACCTATAACTATCCACCACTAATGCACACAATATTAATAAACAATCCAATTAGCTACCCAAAAGTGAAATTTACTATGCTTCTAAGAGGATGTCAGTGGGACACAGTGGAAGTCAGCCCGGTAAGCTGTACTTGCTCATAACCCTCTGTATAGTAATTTAAGCTAACGGACATGTGAACAGGAAAAAGGGGAAGCAACTGCAGGAATTGGAGAACGTGAGGTATGCCTTTAATTAAAACACATTACAACAGCATGTAAATCAAAATGATAACACTGCCACATTTTTTTAAAAAGTGTGGACAATAAATTCAGAAGACAAGGAAAACTGATGTGAGGAGGAGATAATTAACAACTTAAGTGAAAAATAATTATCATATAATTCCATATGAAAACTGATCCTATAAAGTTGATATATAGTAGTTATGTATAAAAGTAGATATAAATTTATGTGGTTATGTGTCAAGGTAATATATTGAACCACCAAAAGAATAGATTAGATTTAAGAATAGTTCTCAAAAGTTTAAATTCAATTGAATGGCATATAAGAGGAGAAAGAATCAGACAAATGTTATTATAAAGCAGAAGAGCTGACACACTAGAAAAATCTCTCCTACTCTATTCTTTTAATCCCACCTGTCTCCGGCCATCACCTCTCTGAAAGAGTTCACCTATTCACTATCAGGTATAAAGCTCAACCATTTGAGATTCTGTTCTATGGGTTAAATATTTCCTTTTCTAAAAGGGTCTTTTCAAAAGAGCAAATACTACTGGAAAAGGTAATATTTTGATTCTCAAAGTTCTTATAAATAAATTAATCTTTTGAACTAGAGGCAGCTGGAACCTTTCAGGTATGAAAAGAGTTAAGTGGGAACATGTTGAAAATGGGAAACACCAAAGAAACTGATTTTAGGAAAACAAAAATAAATGTTGATGGGCACAAGTGACAATTTTTACCAATCTTACGATCTTAGCTCTGACTGGCTCTGATAAAAATCACGTTAGTCATAAGTTAGTGCAGAAAATAGCACCCCATTCCCCCATTTACAGACAAGTATTCTGGAACATAAATCCAGCGCAGCACTTAGGAATGCTAATCTGGAAATGACAACACTCATTAGTCTTCTCTCCTTTACCTTCTTTTCATTAGAAAGATAGCAAAAAACAAACAAACAAACAAAAACAAAAATGAAGAAAAGTCAATACATTTAAAGGAATACTTGACAAAATCCTAAATGCGCTGAATGATCTCAGAATAGAGGGCACAAAGAGATTAATTACCACAAAGCAGTCAAAATGCAAAAGTCCTGAGGTAAGGACCCAACAAGATGACCTGTATGCTTTCTCTCTTGAATAAGAACTAGCAATGGGCTAACAACTAGATTTTCTTTGCAAAAATGAGTCTTATCTGTCTAATCACGTCTTTACAACTCTGCAGGTTTGCTAAGATCAAAAGGAGAAACATTAGGTTAAGTCTGCCTAAAAACAGAGTTGAAAAAAATCTTCTGATTTTATGCTGACTTGAAGAAAGATCCAAGTGAATTGTATAATCTACAGAAGGAAGCTGTAGATCACATCATTTCCTGGGTGCAAATGAATAACTCCAAAATCTGACATACAGAGAACTATTATTAATGTATTGCGCTCTGTGACTTATTGAAAGACTTGCATAATGGAAAACAGCATGTATACTGTTTCCACATAATCCCAGGCTATGGTGGAAATCAACAAGGAGAGCCAAGAAATAGCTAAAGAGATACGGACACTTCGTTGATTGGAAGTGGTCAGTGTCAATTCATACTTCTAAGCCAAAACCATTCTGAATGGCAAAAGGCCACAGGGATTCATGGGAAGAGGACATTTTTGAGGTTAGAAAATAATGTGTTTTGGCAACAAGAATGTCACATTTTAGCCAAACTCTCTGCCATATATATTAGCTATACTGCTTTAGACAAATCAATTATCCTCCTTGAGTCCCAGAATCCTAATTTGTAAAATAATAGTAAAGCATGTGTTAGATTCTCATTTGTTTGAAGCTAAATATACTTTTAATATTATTTTTTAAATGTCAATCGGGAAAATTGAAAAGACAAGGAATCTAACAAGTAAGAATCACAGAAATAGTTATATCTGAGTATTAAGTAGTCTGTTATGATTATAAACTCTATTCCATATGACCAAATATGCATTTAAAAAGAGAATTTCGCTGGGCATGGTGGCTCACGCCTGTATTCCCAGCACTTTGAGAGGGCGAGATGGGTGGATTGCTTGAGGTCAATAATTCAAGACCAGCCTGGCCAACATGGCAAAACCCCATCTCTACTTAAAAAAAATACAAAAATTAGCCATGCATGGTGGTGCACGCCTATAGTCCCAGCTACTCAGCAGGCTGAAGCAGGAGATCGCTTGAACCCTGGAGGTGGAGGTTGCAGTGAGCCGAGACAGTGCTACTGAACTCCAGCCTGAGTAACAGAGCCAGACTCTGTCTCGAAAGAAAAAAAAAGAGAATTTTGGCGACAACTCTAAATATTGCCCAGATCGTCTATCATTTACCACAATGTATTCACTCATTGCTTTTTATTTCCATTTCATACTCAGGTATGAAGAGTTTCAGTTTTAGACTTAAGTCTAGTACGTATTTAACCCAAAAAGTTTTCCCTGCTCCATTATTTGGACTTAAAAAAATGAAAAATTCACTATTTTTGCAAAAATTCTAATAGACATCCTATGTTGATATTTCACAGAGCAATCAAAAAAAAGAACATGCAAACTGTGCTTTAGAGGCAGATATTTCCTTAGTTACCTAATCCTAAATTAAACAGTGCCTGAGTAGGTAAGTCCTCTGTTGCTCTCTGAAACTGCAATTTATCTAAGTGATGAGCTTTGCTCTCTGTCAGACACACATACACAAAGAGATGGGCTGTGGATCAGCTATCATAATGGACATCCCTGAAATAAAGCTCACAAAGCTATAAAACTCTAAAAAGCACATGCATGAAATGACAGAATAGAGT